GCCAGCGTAGCGCAAACACACAGCGGCCTGCTTCGGGCGACATGCGCAGGGCCGCTTCAGTTACGTGGCACCACTGCCCCACGACGACAAGTGAAGGATCTCAGCTTCGCGCGACATTCTCGCCTGCCATGCCCACACAGGCGTCCGCGCTTAACCTGCTCTTCAGAAATAGCGGGGCCCTATGAAACAGACCCCATGGGCAAAGAACCTGCACTGGCAAAGGCTGCCCCTCCAGCTTCTTCTGCGGCTATCCCATCGGACACACATACCCTGAGGAGAGCCCCTCGCAGCTCCCCGTGAGGTTCGGCCGATGCCCCCCCCTCCCCAGCGCATTGCATATGTGTGTGTGTGTGCCCTTTTGAAGAAAACAACAACACAACGAAGAAAATAAAAAGAACAACAACATCGGACACAAACAAGAAACAAAAGAAAAACAACCCACATACACGAATAAATAAATCCAAGAAATGCCTTGATGTATTCATTATTATTATTTTATTTGGCACGGAGTCATTGTAAGCAGCAGACAGAGATGAGCACACCCAAGACGGTCACTACAGGCGTCTGTTGACGCGCTTGACCTGCTTAAACGCGTCTATGTGGGTCCACCAACCCCTCCAAAAAGCGGAAAAAAGCAAAAAAAAAAGAATCTGTGTGCATCAAACCAGAGAATATCTCAGCTTCTGGTTGAAGACAACGTAGGTGCTCACTAGCCATAGTGTGTAGATGGGAACGATAATGGCCAATGTAATGACTGACACACGCCACCAACAACTCCACGAAAAAAAGAAGGCTTGGTCAATCGTTTCAGGCAGCACCAAAACAGCTATAAAGTAGGACGCGATGGAGAAGCATTCAGCAGCGATGAATAAATAAAGATGCATTCGACGCTGCTTCCAGAGTATGCGAAGGTGCGCTGTGCAGGCCACGATAATAAGCTCCGTCAGCAACAGTGAAGTGTAGGCAACTGCCATTATCTGGAACAACTCCTCGCTGAAGAGCTCAAGTGAGAGAAGCACCATGATTCCTCCCTGAAAAATGGAAATCCATGCCCACTGCAGAAACGACAGTGCATTCATGGATCGAGCCTTTAACAGCTCCTTGTAATGCTGCGGAAACTCACTAACGTCCTCCTCTTGTATGTCCTCATCGAGAACCAGCGCAAAGACGGGTGCCACTGTGAAGATTGTGGTGTATCCCATAAGAAGATATCCATTAAAAACGGACATGGTAGTGCCTGCAAAAAGAAGCGAAAAAAAAGCTTGCACTACCGAGTACACCATACCCCGATGCATAATGAACTGACTCATACGACATGTACGACGATATGAACTACGCCCATGCCAAATTATAAGACGAACACAGTGAGCAAAGCTCGTAATGGAGAAGTCCGCCGCCATACTGGCCTGTTTCCCTTCCACACCCTCTACTCCAATACCAACGTCGGCAGCAAGTATCATTGAAACATCGTTTCCCCCATCTCCAATAGCCGCCATGCGAACCGTCTTATCGCAGTACTTGCGCATGGTGTGAACAACAGCTGCCTTTTGTGTAGGCGAGCACCGCGCAACAATAACGGAGTACGCGGTGCGTGACACCTCAATAAAGTTTCTAGACACTGGTTCCGTCAAACAGAAGGAAAGTGAGCTGCCATCCAAAATAAGTGTCCATGGTGTGCTGATACCAGCGCCGCGTAATGGAAGGTAACGTCGTTGCAGCGTATCCAACTGTTGCTGAGCCTCTTTTTCTGTAGAAACCTTCATTACCTCTACCACACCATGACGTGGAATAAGCCGCGTTGAACGGCCAATAGTGGTGGCAGTCTCCACCTTGTCTCCTGTTAAGATCCACACCTTAATGCCACCCATCCCCAAGGTTTCAATTGACGCTGTGACATCGTTTTGAAGCTCATCCTCCACACCCGTGACACAAAGCAACTTCATATCCTTTTCAATGAAACGCATGGCCTCATCTAAACAACTGCTGCGCGTATCACCCAATTCAGCGTTGGCTTCATTGTACTTCGCCAAAAACATTACAAGGTGCTCTTCAGTTAATGGCCGCTGGGCAAATACCAACGTTCGAAGCCCCACCTGTGATAATTCTTGACAACTTTCATACAACCAATCAGAGTGGCGTACAGCAGTGGCGATTTTGGTATCCGCCCCCTTCATCAGATATTTATATCCACCTTTCCCATGTTCCTGCCGCTCACAAACGATAATTCCCATACACTTACGATCAGATGTGAAGGGGAAGGCTTTGATAATATCATACTGCACCATTCTCCCTCCAGGGGTGGTAAACCTCATACTATTTACATCGCGGTGTACAAGGGAAACACCAATGGAGCTACAGAACTTAACGAAAGCCACTTCGTCTGGTGAAGACGCCTGATACTCTAGCCGGCCATCCTCCATGACTGGACTCACGTTGTGGCAGAGCACAAGCGCCAGAAACGCTTCTCCCACAGATGTTACATCGCGTAGAAAGGTTCGTTGCGACTGCACAGCACCGCCTTTACCAACATATGTGGGATAAATCCCTTCTGATTCATGCTGTTCAGCAAAAAATGCCGTCATAATCTTTCGAAAGCGTTCAACCTCATTGCAATTCAAAACTGTGTCTGCACCAACTTGAAGGACGCGGAACTTCATTTCGTTTTTCGTCAGCGTCCCTGTTTTATCCGCAAATAAAAACTGCAGACGTCCTAGCTCCTCAGGAATGTTAGTGTTGCGGACAACGGTTCCAGCTATTTTTGGGTCCCGATACATTTCGTACGAATACCACATGCGGCCCACATCCACGTTTACGCGCATGGAAATGGGAATGATGACTGACAGGAGAATGAGGAAGCGGAGAAACATTGCCACCCAGTCCCCCTGAAACCCCTGCACAAAAACAAGCAAGCATGAGATAAGAAATAGTAGAAAAAAGCATAGTGCCCCCACAACATTCAGTTCACTTTCTATAAGACCCATCTTTGTGGAGGGTTTGCTGGAATTCATCGCGCAACGTGTGTCAACGCCGGTGTGAAGCACCACAGCGATAAGGGTACCTGACGCTACGACGCAGCTTTTCCACAATGTGTTTTCAAGTGAAATGGCCTCAGACTCCATACCCGAGACATCACACATCCCCGCAAATTTGTAGATGTCTTTATGAAGCGGCTCACAGCGAATATTCGCGCGAAACTGACAGAGTTCCTCGTTGCTGAGGGGCTGCGTCAATTTCAAGGCATACCGTAGCTTCCAGTCAGTTTCACCGTCAAGTTGTTCTGTTCGTACAAAACACGTCCCACTCCTCTCAGAGGTGCGCAGCAAGACACAGTCGGCTGGAATCCGCTGACCGTGGCGCAGCACCAGCAGGTCCCCTACTCGAATCGACGCCGCCCGCACAATACCTGTGGAGGCGTCAGGAAGAAGTTTCTCAACCTTCTCTTCGTTGGCGGCCCGATCACGCTGGTATCGCTTAATGTCATCCACGGCGTCTTTGCTCAGTGACAGCAATACCACAAGCGCCAAGGGCGCGAAGTAAGTGAAGATAAACCCAACCTTCAGAGCCGGAATAAGCTGCGAGAATGCCAGCAGCAAGTAAAAAATATTAAAAAATGACCGGAACTGATGAAACAAAGAGAGCGGTAGAAACGTCAGAAGAGTATAGCGTCTGTTGTTAATCACGTTGCTTGGGTACCCTCGGCCAGAATACACCTCCGCCCCACACCTAATGGCAATTGTTCGTGGCTCATTTGCGTCCGCCACATCCATGTTAAGCCACTCTCTCACATGCTGCATGTAACTGCGCTGCTTCATCGGAGGAGTCGTCAGAAACAACGGATCCTGCTCGTTGCCACCGCCGCCATCTATGTCGTCATACCGATTCACCATCTCTACAGCCTCATGCATAAGGGCTTCAAAACACCAAAACAAAGAGGAAATGTAAAAGAGGCAAAAAGATAGCAAAGATAAAGAAAACAATGTAAACGAATAAGTAGCAAACAACACAAACAGCCCCAGACACATCCACGCTTACACACACACAGAGAGAGAGAAAAAAAAAATATCTCCTGAGCAGCATCTAACATATCAAAAAGCAACCATAATGCACTTAAGTTTACCCCCAACAAAGTTTATAAATACAGCGTACTGCCAACTACGGACAAAAACACGGAAAACCACTCACCAGCACCCATCACATACAGTCACAGGAAAACAACATTCTCTCCAAATCGAGACACAACCGTGGGCAACGCACATGGGCGAGACCACCCACAGTCACAAGTCACAGCATTTTCAGACACATTCACAGAATAAAATCTTGCGCGACTACGGCAACAGCAGCGCGATAGCACCAGTTCGTGCCGTGGGCCATGCTGCCACACAGTAGGATCCACTACCAAGCAAGATCCTCTACATGGCTCAGCTGGTTCCATGCTGTCTCCGTCAACGCCTCGTAGGAGCTAAACACACCAGCCAAGTAGAGGGAGTCGTGATGCGGCACACGCAAGCCACCCTCGCTGCAGAGGACGCGTTTCCACGACCCTGCATGCACAAAGAGTGCAGCTGAGCGGCGGAGCTCACGGAATCCCTCTGCTCGCCTCCATAAAATCGAGCAA